CCTCGGGACGTAAAGTGCCCCTCGAGCCCCGCCGAAGCGAAGCATGCCGCTCACACAAACCCCACAGACGCCGCAGTGGAGTGGTCCAGCAACACAACGGTGTCCTTCCCACTCACAGTGCACACACAATAACAGTCCCACATGCTCATATCAGAGAGGCACTACGGCATTCACTAAAACGCACACTAAGTCACACACCTACAGAGGGGAAAAGAAAAACACAGGAAAATAACAAGAACAACAACAGGATACCAACAGCACACAAAGCACTCACAATACAATAATCACAGCTGACACTCTCACCAGAGAAACACATTCACACACACCAGCACATCAACTCAACCCCCAAAAAAACAGACCCATTACGTGAAGCCGAAGCGGAACAGTCTCAGTTCATCTCCCCGCAGGTTGCAGTCACTCAAGCAAGCCACACACACCACAACGGCAGAAATATGTCCGTGGCAATGCCGTGAGTGACACCACCGAGAGAGAAGGTGAGAACGAAGAAATGTGTTTTCATTACGTGGGCGGTGTGAGTGGCAACCCAAACACACAAAGGAACACACAACAGAGGGACACACTCAAACACCCACAACCCACCAATCTTCATACCAAAATAAAAATGCAGAAAAAAAGAGTGACTGCGTGAGGCAGACACAATAATGGAGCAAATAAAGAAAAAAAAGAAATTCATGTGTTACTGTGGCTGCCATGCCTGGACACAGTCCAATCCACTCCAAGGTTAACAACGGAAAATCATTGTGTACTGAACGTGATGTGCCCATATCTTTATTCTTGATGTCCGTGCAGCAGTTTGTACACAATGAAAGAAAAAGAATCATTCCATAAAAATGAACACACAAGATACACAAGGTGTATAGGAAACGCAAAAGAGAAACACACAGATGCACATAACACGTGCAGTGTAATTATAATGACACACACACAAGGAAAAAACAACAGAATGAAAACAAAACAAAAACAAAAAGAGAGCCGTGATCACCATGTGAATATCTTCAGGAGGCAAGAACACAATTCTCAGCAGTAGGTGTGTCTTTCGTACAGGGCGAGCAGTGGGAATGTTGCACACATAATGACAGTCCACACACAGACACAAAGAGAAGGAAGGTTGGTGGTGTGCGTGTTTGTGTGTCTTGAACCCCCTGCCATTCTTCACATTTCACTCACAGCAATTAAAACACATCGGGACTGCATCCCATTCCCATGGGTAAAAGCAATAGTTATTAATATCACGGAACACACACATCACCAGGAGGACACACCGAAAGGCGGCACAGCAGTGCCTAGATAATAATGCGAACAAACAAAGAGGACACTCCCCTCACAAAATGATGGTTTGGTCATGTGATGAGTGCCATAGGGAGTCCAATAGATGTGTTCAGTAAAAAAAAATGCAAACAAGAGATTTATCGAACTGAAAAAGAAAAAAAAACATTAAAATTCAATAAAAAGAACAGTGACCTTACAATGCATCCATGTCCACCCAAACAAAGATTAACTGTGCAACTGTGTCATGGGAACACCGATTAGCACACGAGAGTGCAACAAAGCACAAGCGGCAGAAGCAGCAATAAGGGACTGTGCACCAATGCAGGACTGCTGCCGTCTTTTTTCTTCTTTTTTTTCTCCATCTCTTCCCTTGCCTTTCTCTCCAACTCCTGTTTAGCCCGCTCTTCTTTAGCCTTTCTTGCCTCCTCTTCTTTTGCTTTTCTTGCCTCTTCTTCTTTGATCTTTTTCTTCTCTTCTTCCGCTTTCTTTCTCTCTTGCACCTTTAGCCTTTCCTCAGCCGCCTTTCTCTCCTCATCTTCGGCCTTCTTTCTCTCCAGTTCCCTTTGCCTTTCTTCATGGAGTCTCCTTACCTCCTTTTCCTCTTCCTTTTTTTTCCGCTCCAAACTTTCTTTTTCCTTCTCCTGTGCCGCCGTCACCTCCGCCTCAAGTTTCTTTGTGTCACTTTTTTTCTTCTTAACGACTTTATCAGAGGCAGCTCCTGCAGTCGCTTTCGCTGACGCTCGACCGACTACATATTCCTTCGACCCATCTCGCTTAAGGGAATCTATTTCCACCAACTCATCCCTCAATAATTCCAAAAGAGTTTTGTTGTATTTGGTCACCTCCTCTCCGAACTCCTCAGGAGCTATTTTAAGTTTTTCTTTCACCCCTCCGAACAAGTACAGCGCTCTGAGCATCCTGTTTTTCGTAGCGATTACACCATTACTTACCTCCCTCGCGCAGGCGTGACTCCTTCGTCTGATCACCAGGAGCTTTTGATACACCTCATTCATATCATTATATACTCTCCTGGTCCTCCTTATAAGCGCATCTTGTTCCACTGATCTTTTTTCTTCATCCACTCTCTCAAGCACCTCTGTATTTTGATTCCTGCTCTTGTTTTGACTCTCCAACGTTTCTCTCATTTTCATTATCGCATCTTCACTCATTCGATCCAAATTTCTCGCATCTTCGACTGCGTTTGCTGCCTCATTAAGCACACTCACATTTTTGTTTACTTCACTCGTGGCCCTCTTCACGAGACTTAGTAAATGGTCGCGCAGAGGATACTCCTTCGCCCTCTCGTTTATGATTTCGGCAACGATTTCTTTCGTCCCACTGGCGATGTCCCATGCAACATTAGCTCTTTTAATACAAGCATTCACCGTGGTTCCCCATACCTCATGATAGCCTTTTCCTCGCGCAAAGCGCCCCTCCGCCTCGTCCGCCCATTCCTTTAAAGACCCCACCGCCTTCCCGTGCCCGGCATCGTCTTCCGCGCGGACCACGCAAACGCTGGTCTGCAGGAGTACCAACAGATACACCACACGGCGCAGTTGGATGAACATCGTTCTCATGACTGCCACTGTGAGTTGTTCGGATCTATGGTGAAAAGAGGAAGAGGAGAAAAGAGACGCACATTTAACACACAAGGCAGACAGTAAACAGCAACACAGAAAGAAAGAGAGAGCACACATCACAACAGCAATCAAACACAACCCAATGAGAGAAACAACAGTAAACCACTCACACAATAAAACACACCCAGAGTTACACAGATATTGAAACAACACCTTGAATTTAGAAGAAGTGGAAAACAAATGGCATCAAAACAATATTAAATAAACGTCTCTACACACACTCCAATATCTTACTCGGTATTCATACACAAAGTGTGTCTGTATTCTCATTATAATAAAACCATTACCAGGTAGTTTGAACACCAAAATACACCAAAAACACAGTGTACGCCTGGCAACAAACATAAACAATACCACAAAAAAATCAGCAAAACAAAGAGACCGTACAATAATCAACACACTTCCAAACAGAAAAAGAAAGAAAGAAACCAATGCATCACCATAATATTTATACCAACGCACCACAATTGGAATCCAAAACCCACTCACTCACAACCGTAACAAAAATGACTGCATACATCACTGTAATACCATACCACTCTTTACAAACAGAGGCAACACACAATTACTCTCTCACACACATATTACCTCTTTATTTATCCTTATCACTATTATTTTATTTTTCCCTCAGAATGCCGCCTCGCCTCCTCTTCTTCCACAGCATTATCAAGTAAAAAAACACCCACCCAAACCCACACATCCCTACTCCATGGTGTGTAATGGGAGGGTACGATCAAACATATCCCCTCCCCAAAAAGGACCCCACACCACACCACCACGTTTTTCTTTTTGTTCTTCGTGGCGTTATGGATGTTACTCCAATGGAACGGGCCATCAAGAATAATACATAAATATACATAAATATAATTTGTTTTTATATTATTTTTTTTACTACCGTTGGGCATGGGGAGTGCGCATTGGTAATGAAATTACAATGGATCTCGTGGGTGGCAGAACATGGATTTTTTCGCCCCTCTGAGTCCCCTCAGAGGCCAAATCTAATTTCCCGCCTCTGGAGGGCATAATTGTTACTATCTCTAGGGTCCGTGCCTCTCCTTCTTTAGCGGCATTCATACTAAAGTGAATTATATAAAAGAAAGTGCTGCTGATGGCACACCGATGCGCGCCACAGGACCTTCTTGGATAAAGTTTTCTCCTAGTACGACTCTGCTGATCCCGGTGCTATATGACGTTTGTAGCTTATGAACCCGTAGACTCTCAAGAAAGAAAATTTGATGGCCCATGGCTTCCCCCGAAAGAAAACGAGGTAATGGGCATTGGCTCCAACTTTCGAGGGCCAACCGCCACCAAGGGGATGCCATTCCCAAGAACGCATGTATTAAAAAGAAAAACAAAAAGAATTTGGTTTTTTACGGAGACCACCCACTTCAAACATTTGGTGAGTGAGTTTGGTTTCCTTGAAAAAATTCATCTACTCCACCTTGACGCCATATGAAGGCAGCCCCTATTACTAAGGGCATCTTGGCCTAAAACCCCGCCCACTGCGGCCACCCCAACCCACCCAAAGGGAGGCAGAGGCCCACAGCCAGAGCGTGACGCGCGGTGCCGCAAACAAAAGCGCAACCACTACCAGTACATGTAGAAAACACAAATCACGACGGNTTCTCATTATAATAAAATCATTACCAGGCAGTTTGAACACCAAAATACACCAAAAACACAGTGTACGCCTGGCAACATACAAAAACAATACCACAAAACAATCAGCAAAACAAAGAGACTGTACAATAATCAACACACTTGCAAACAGAAAAATAAAAGAAACAAACCAACGCATCACCATAATATTTATACCAACACCACAATTGGAATCTAAAACCCACTCACCCACAACCATAACAAAAATGACTGTATACATCACTGTAATACCATGCCACTCTTTACAAACAGAGGCAACACACACAATTACTCTCTCACATACACATATTACCTCTTTATTTATCCTTATTACCACTTTTTCCCTCAGAATGCCGGTTCTCCTCTTCTTCTCCCACAGCATTATCAACAAAAAAAAACACACACCCAAACCCAACCATCCCTACTCCATGGTGTGCAATGGGAGGGTACGATCAAACATATCCCTTTCCTCCCCTCCCCAAAAAGGACCCCACACCACACCACCACGTTTTTCTTTTTGTTCTTCGTAGCGTTATGGATATTACTCCAATGGAACGGGCCATCAAGAATAATACATAAATATACATAAATATAATTTGTTTTTATATTTTTTTTATTTACTACCGTTGGGCATGGGGAGTGCGCATTGTTAATGAAATTACAATGGATCTCGTAGGTGGCAGAACATGGATTTTTCTCACCTCTCTGAGTCCCCTCAGCGGCCAAATCTAATTTTCCGCCTCTGGAGGGCATAATTGTTACTATCTCTAGGGTCCGTACCACCCCTTATTTAGCAGCATTCGCACTAAAGTGCAATATATAAAAGAAACTGCTGCTGATGGTACACTGATTCGCACCCCAGGAGCTTCTTGGATAAAGTTTTGTCTCAGCACGACTCCGCTGGCCACGGTGTTGTATGACGTTTGTAGCTTATGAACCCGTAGACTCTCAAGAAAGAAAATTTGATGGCCCATGGCTTCCCCAAAATAATAAGGGATAATGGACATTGGCTCCAACTTTCGAGGGCCAAACGTCACCAGGGGGATGCCATTCCCAAGAACGCATGTATTGAAAAGAAAAATAAAAAGAATTTGGTTTTTAAGGAGACCACCCACTTCAAACATATAGTGGGTGAGTTAGGTTTCCTTGAAAAAATTCATAAACTTCATCTTGGCATCATATGAAGGCATACCTCATTATTAAGGGAATCTTGGCCTAAAACCCCACCCAAGGTGGCCACCCCAACCCAACCAACCAATGGGAGACAGAGGCCCACAGCCAGAGCGCAACACGCGGTGCCGCAAACAAAAGCGCAACCACCACCAGCACATGTAGAAAACACAAATCACGACGGCAAAAACCAGATGGCGCGCCTGGCACCCCCAAAAAAATACAGGGGTGGGGGCCCGACCCCGCCACACGGACAAGTCC